CGCTCTGCTGTTTCACCTGTGAGTACTGTAGTTCGAGAGAGAGAGAGAGAGAAAGGCTCCTTTGGGGACTTATAATGTAGCCTTAAAATGTCCTATTTAGAAAAAAGCATCTTTCTGCAATAGAGAGATGAATATAAAGGCTAAAATAATTTAAATTATAAGCAAAGAAAAAGAAAAGAACACCACTGGTCATCAGTGTTGGGCTAGTCCCAAGGAAGAACACACTCAATTACTCTTTTCAAATATAACATTTTTTACATTTTACACTTATTATTCCCTGCCAACAGTAATTAGTTACTAGTTATATATATTCTATATTATTATTATATTATATCTGTCCTTTCTCCCCTAAAATTCATTACAATGATTAAAATCCAGTTTTGTTTGTTTATATCAAAGTAATGGAATATTTCCAGCTGCTGAATATAAAAGTTTCCATCTTCCAAACTAGTTTTCTCCACGATTACAAACATAAATCCAACGATGTGATTGGATTGTTGGATTTCAAATTACATTAATCTAATCAGAGAAGAGGAAGAGGAAGAAAATTGAGCCAGACATTAAAGAGGGACAACAGTAATTTAGTATTACACTTCAGTTAAATTGGGGGTCTCACAAGGGACAGATTAAAGAAAACTGAAGCTAAAGAAAACTGAAGCTGTTGAGAGACTAAAATCAGGAAATATTCACATTTGAGAAGCTGGAAGCAAAATATTTTTTGGGCATTTTGTTTACCCCAACCTTATTCCTTACGGGACCTCTTTTCTATCACTGAGTAAACTGTGGACCCGACTGACAAGCGACATATTTTATGGATATTTCGTATTATATTCAATGTATAACAATAACAGTAGAGAACAACTGATAAACTGTACAATTAACCCAAAACAGTGAACACAATAAGTGCAGGAAGGTTGTGTAAAACAAGTGGTTTTAATGAATTTTGAGCAGGTTATTTCCTGTTAATACTCAGAAATGAGTTTTCCTGATGTTTTAATACAATTCTCTGTCTGGATTATGTATTTTACTTAATAGTGTATTTGATAAATTCAGTGTTATCAGAAAGTGAAGGCTCTATATATAACGTGTGTTCAGCTATCTAAACTTTAAAAATAACAATTTAATTTAGTTTTCGTCACAGAAATGAATGAAATGCTGAGATATAAGCCTACTATGTATATTTTTAAAGGTTTTCTTACACCCCTTAAAATCAAGAAAGCCTCGCGACCCCTCGTTAAGCTCTGGTGACCCCTAGTGGAGGTCCTGACCTCGAGGTAGAGGAACCACTGCTAGAGTGTGTTTTCTTATGAAAGTACAGTAGTAAAATACAAACAAATATTTATCTGTCTTTCCTTAAATCTTGAATTAATTAAAATTAAACTGGAATGTGGAAGAAAGAGAAGGTCTGACTTCCCCACACAAACTCTACATCTCTATCAGACGTGGGGAAAGGGGGATGAGGAGTGTCCAAAACAAAGTCGTTATCAGGCACCAGAAAGGAAAATAATGATATGTGCCATGTTTAGATTGGGCCATGAATAAACAATGACATTTAGTCCCCAGCTGGATACTGGCGTGAAAAACGGATCCGGCTGCGCAACCAAGCCGAAGGAAGCTTTGTTAATATGACAAAATATTTATTACTTGTCATGAAAGATGCATTACCCTTAAATCTTAATTGCATCAGCATGAAAAAAGATTCTTATCGGAGACATTAAAAAGTCCTACAACTGTGCCCAGGTAAATAAATCCAGCACAAACAGCTATAACTATAACAGATTTGATCGAAGCAAACTTTTCCTAAGATGTATGGTTTTTAGACATGTGACTGTGTGATATTGTGTTACAATAAATGATCTGAATACTAAATCCCCTGCTAACAAAACCAAAAGCTCCTTTTTGTCATCAAAGGAGTTTGTACTTTAAGTGTTAGTAGTCCTGAAGATGGCACTTGGTATGGATCCCGATTGCTTTTTGTTTACAGCCAAACAGCAACCTTATGTGATTTTGAGGTCTTTTTTTATTACGTTCTTGAGACATTATGCAGCTCCCAACAGAGTTTGGGAATGAGGATGTTTTCGGCTACCTGGAGGAAGTTAGTGCAAACAGTTTGTCTGTCTGATTTTATTGCTTTTATCCTATGTGATTCGGCTCGCTTGCTTTTATTGTTTTTATCATTTCTCATGAACTCTGTGAAGCACTTTGGGTTGCCTTGGGTATTAAATGTGCTATATAAATACATTTACCTTGCCTTGACTTAAATTTTTTTCCCATGTATCTAATTTTGTTGACTAAGACATAACTTTATGGGAGTGTGAAGAGAGCATTGAAACAGCATCTAAAGGCTTGGGAAGGAGCGCTTCCTGTACACTAACTGAGTTTGTTTGAGGTGCTCTTTGGATAAGGATAGCCTACACATGGACACACAAATCAAAATTGACACCCCAATGAGGGCTTGATGCTGAAATGTGTCAGAATTTTTTTTAATTGAGGTTTTAATTGTTTAAAAAGTAAAGTTTATTCGAGTTTTCTTGTGATTTTTGTGAGCCGTTGGTTTCAGTTGAGGTTTGTGTTGCTAGTAGCAACCGCTGCTGGCACAGTTCCATAGCAGTTTAACTGACATTGTTACATCCACCATTTTGTCAAATCTGTGTCAAATACAGTCTTTTATCTACTCCTTAAACATCCTTATTCAAGTATTATCTGTATGTGCGCTTCTATTACAGCTGTATTGTTTTATTTTATGTTTAAGTTTTCTTCTAAGCTAACCACTGTACTAACGTTAGCTAATGGAGCTAATGTGTTGCTAATACAACATTCTAAGTAACTGTTAAGTTACGGTTGGAATAACTGTTTTTGTACTCTTTTTAATTACTACTAATACTATTATATAATACTATACTACTATACTAATATTACTGTGCTGTACTTCAAATCTTAATGTTGATCTTTCACTGGTGATAGTTTGTTTTCTTCCTGACATGAAGCAATTTGACTGCTATGGTAACTACGCCACACTTTTCCAAACTATTTTTTTTACACCAAATAATGTTAAATCTGAGTTATTTTAGTTACGTGAGTTTATACGCAGTTATTGCTTTCCACAGTACTGATCACTGTAACCTCTTAAATAACCAGTGTGGAAGAGGACTTAGTGGCATCTAGCGGTGAAGGCGCAGATTGCAACTAACTGAACACCTCTCGCGTCTGTATTTGACGATGTAGGAATGAGAACGAGTTGTGCCGCATGTGTAGGAGAAACTACAGTGGCCGCGAAATTTGTGAAAAACCTAGAAAAAACCCTTATCTACAGCCAGTGTTTGGTTTGTCCGTTCTGGGCTACTGTAGAAACATGGCTGTTCAACATGGCCGACTCCATGGAAGGTGACCCGCTTATCTGTATCTGTAAGATAAAAACTGCTCTTTCTACGCTAACAAAAACATAATGATTCCTAGATTCAGGTGATTATATATTAATGAAATGATACCAATATTAACATTATAATACACTACATGTTACAAACTGGACCTTTAACATACATTTTTTTTGCATCTTTTGAAACTTTTGTCATCATTAGATTTTTAAATAAAGTTTTGTGGGTTTGTTGGAGGTATACTGCGACGGATTATTAGGGCCATACTAAAAAAAAAAAA